GGCCGTCCAGCGCGCTGGCGGGCTCCGCGCGGCGCGCGCAACGCCTCGCACGGGACGACTTCTCACATTGTTTCTCAAAAACCCGTGCACCAAAAAAATCCAAATTCGGCAGGTGGGTCCTTGAAGGACTAATCTCAATGTCAATTCGTTTGCCTCCTACATTGCCTGTATTGCCTACAATGAACCCATTGACTCGGCCACAACAGATGTTTTCGTGGGCGCTTTTCGTGGGCTCTGTCACGCTGTAGCCACATCCTTTATCTACCTAGTATCAAAATCTGAGATCGACATCTCCAGCGGTCGGGCTGAATCGAGGGGTGAACAACTCGGCTGAGCCGGGGACAGATGAATATATTACAAAGTAATATTGGGAATACGAGTAATACAAAATTACGAGTATTACAGATATTATCAAAGTATTACAGGTATTATAAGGTATTACAAGGTATTACAATGAATTACAAGATATATTACAAAGGTATTACGAAGTATTACAAGGTATTACAAGGTATTACAGGGTATTACAGGTATTACGAGTCATACAAGTAATATAAGTAATACAAGTAATACTTGGTAATACAAATACTATAAAGTATTACAACGTAATACAAGGTAATATTGCGTAATATTGCGCAAGTAATATATGGTAATAGAAGGTAATACAAGGTAATACATGGTAATACACGGTATTACAGGGTAATACAAGGTAATACAAGGTAATACACGGAATACAAGTAATATCAGGTAATACAAAGTAATACAGCACCCCGGGACAGAGGAATACACGAGATGTTCACCCCTTGGGCTGAATTACTACAAACGCCGGACCTCTGCACGGCCTGTTTTGTACCGGACCAGAAAATCTCACTCCCCTACCGCACCACCTCATGCCCCGCTGCCGTGTCCAGGGTCATGGTCATATATGCCCAGGTCTCAAAAGACCTCTCAGCTTTCACGGCGACTCACGTGAGCCAGGGGGCCCGAGTGGAGGCAAGCAGGCAAGCCTGGCTGGTGCGTCGTCAGCTGAGCTTTCTGCCTGTCCATCTGTCACCGTCTGTCCGTCTCCGAAACGTTGGGTCGCCGAGATCCCCGAGTCGAGGCTACCGTAGGGGGAATGCCACGCGTTGCGCCTACTTGTGTACTGAAGAAGCCGGCGATATTACTGACGATGGTGGTGAACAGCGAATACGGCTTTGTTTTCCCTCCGTAAAAACAGAGAGTACCCCCAGAAAATGCTTTCCTTGATTCTCAAAAATTATTGCAGGATGAAAATTAAAATTAAGTTTCCTTCGCCAGAGGAAAAATTTCCTTATGTTCAGGAATTTTTCTTTGAGGTAAGGTAAGAGTTAATTTATCCAAACTTTAGGTCGAAATGTCAATGAATCAAAGAAAGCATTTTCTGAGTGTAAATGTAGAAGACTGCTTGGGGTCTGCGCCCGCCACCACCGCAACATGCCTTTTTGAAACGTCAGGCCATATGATACCCTCAGCGAGTGCCGAACGGCCGGACCTCCTTATCGCAGGAGGCGCGCAGCACCAGACAGTGCCCTGCACACAGATCAATTAGTGGTGGAAGGAGTTTTCTAGGACAATTATTATTATTTGTACTACCAATCTGTCCTCGTTTTTCCGATCACAGCGAAATGTCGATTGAAGTCGTAGGCCAATTTTGAACCTACATTTGAGCACGAGCCCCTGGCCCGGGTAAGGTGTAATGTAGGATGTACATTACACCTTAGGCCCAGGGCTGAGGCGAACCCGGCGCGCGGCGCCTCGCCCAGCGTACGCACAACACGGACGTGCGGCTCGGCTACGCACGGCACGGTTCTGCATGTCGCAGGTCCTCGGCGCTCCCCGACAAACCTTAGTTGGTGGCCTCTATGTTGCGGCAACCAACCGCTACGTTGCCTACGTTTCGGCCCCGTGTACGTTTTCTGGCGTCGTAACGACAACCAATAAATATTTAGCAGCCTAGATCCCTATCCCGACTACACTACTTGTAAGATTCTATGACACGATCCGTCCACATACACAGAATGTGTGCGTGCAGCTTTCATCAGCAATTCGAAATCACGTAACGTAAACACGTGCCGCTGAGGTGCATCTGTTCAGTGCAACGAGGTAGCCGTGACACGCAGCGGCCACCTGCACAGGCTGTCTGGAGGAGACTGCCATGGGCAGCGCGACATCGCATCACGCTGCCATGTGGCACAGACGTGCGTCTGTTCGTTGCCACGAGGTAGCCGTGACACTCAGCTAAAACAAACATTGGCACCGCGATTTCACGTTTTGGGTGAATGTGGCAGCTAGCCTTGCCTCTCCGGTCGCTGTGACGTCTGTATGGTATGTGTAAGCCACGTGCAGGGCTGAGCGACACAACGTGTAAAGCCAACGTGTTTTCGAGCTGCATTACTACCGTGCCAGCACCTCGCTGAATTACGTTGTGGCTTGGCTAGGAAGTAACCTGCCAGCATGTACCGGCATCGTGCACAGGTGAGCAATTAGCAATAAACAGTACGAAAAAGGGTACGTTTCTACGAGACATTTATTTTCAGAAATACATGCAGTTACAGAGGTATGTGTGCACGTACATTTTAATGACAAATATATAATTATCTGAAGACGAGAGCTTTATTGTTTGATCGGACGGTCGTATGTTTACTTTTTAAAATGGGAATACAAGAAGCAAGCACAGTCATCGCATGAAGGTAAGCTAAGGCGAAGCATCAGAGTTAATTCACAATAATAATCGAGAATTGATTAAATAACTTGGTAAATTAAGGTCAACTACGTAAACTATAAGGCGAAGCATGAGGTACTAGTTAATTCACAATTATAATCGAGAATATACATAGCTATTCCTGGAAAGATGAAGAAAGGCAGGCATTGAATGGCTTTATTTTAACTGCCGTTTTCCATTGCGTAAGGCAAAGTTCAAAGTTACTTAAAAGTGCAGAAGTACTAAGGTTACGTATACTAGTAATCGTAAGACTTATTTTATCGCATATGAACGTAAACTAAAGCAAAGCATGAGGCTCCAGTTAATTAACAATAATAATCGAGAATTTGCGTGGCTGCTCGGGGAACTATGAAGAAAAGAAGGCACGGAATGGCTTCATATTACTGCAATTTTCCACTGCGTATTGTGAAGTTGATTTAAAATGCAGACGTACTTCACAACATTTAATATAAGTGAAGTCAGGATTTCTGCCGATTAAGGCCCTACGCCACAGTTAAGGTCCCAGATTTTAACATATTGTTATGGATTCTCTTTCAGAGTTAAATCACTTCAATTCATGCAGTCGTTATAACTATAACGTTATAACTATAGCTACCCATTTCTTACAACCACTGCATGAATTGAAGTGATTTAACTCTGAAAGAAAATCCATAACAATATGTTAAAATCTGGGACCTTAACTGTGGCGTAGGACCTTGATTGGCAGAAATCCTGACTTCACTTTTTATGAAGTGTTGTGAAGTACTGCTTCATTTTAAATCAACTTAAAAATACGCGATGGAAAATTGCAGTAATATGAATACATTCCGTGCCTGTAACAGCTAGGTTATTTACTGGCAGGCATTTATTGCCATCTAACGTGAAATATGATATCAATTCAATCAGATTTTACCATTCACAGTAGAGAAATAAAATAAAAATCATATGCAGTATTTTAACCAATATTTGAAGCAAAAGAATTCCTTAATCATCATTTTGCCCTACTGTTGTATCACTACCCTCTTCGTCATACTCCCGATCCCTTCTCTCTCTACTCTCCCTTCTCCTCAGCCTTTTCTTCTCCCGCGAAGGCGCGTCCTTCAGCCAATTCCCAGTCAACTCCATGACCTCCTTCACGGTGGAATCCTTGAAGCGACGGCGAACAGCACCTGCAGGATAAAGAAAGAACACCGTTTATTCCGCGCTGAACCGGGTGCTTTGGCGAATAAATTGGCGTATGGCGGAAGGCTCAAGTGACGTACATGTACCAGGTGGCTGATTTACTCCGGGCACTTCTGTAGGTATGCTGTACAGCATGCAGGCGTGTGGGAGGGCTTGCCTATCGTCGCTCACCGTAGCCTCTTACGGCCCCGTGCGAGTATGCAACCCGCCCGCACACTTGCATGCGGTACAGTACAACTTCAAAAGTGCCCGGAGTAAATCAGCCCCCTGGTACAGTGAAGGTTAATCAACAATGAGCGATGACAGCGTGCTCTGTGTTCGATGCGAGAAAAGATGGAGACTACTTATCTCCATAAGCCTGCAACATAACTGGCGCGAGCAGAAGGTGTCCAATATGATAGCCAGCCCCCTGCTTGCGCCAGTTCCGTCCCCGTCGTAAGGAGATGATAATTATCCATCACTTCTTGCGCCGGTAACAGAACTTCCATGACGTCCCTTGCGCACTGCAATCGCCTATTGTAGATGGACCCTCCATCACAATTTTTTTAAAGTATATACTTACACATGACTGCCTTCAAGAGAGAGGTACCCATGAAAGCGTCCTTGCGAGGCTTGCCAGATCGATGGATCCCCTTCATACTCTTGGTTGAGGCGAATTCATCAGTGAAGAGTGTCTTCATTATGGCGTAGACGGCATCTTTCGGACTTGTACCAACAAGGCCATACAGGAATGTAACCTGAAATACATGAGAATTGCACCTTGAAAGTACCTTGTAGATCACTTCGCATCGTTCACAATGGCCAGTCTCGCATGTGACATGACATCGAGATCACCGTTCACCGTCGGAGATCACATACAGGGTGTAACTCTTGTCTTCTCGTGACAAGAGACAACCGGACCAATTGTGATGTGATAAAAAGTCCCCGTAAAGTTTGTTTGAATCAGTAGACTTAAAACTAGAAGTAATCTGTGCCCCTTTTTGTAATTTTGACCTCAGGCAAAATTTTGTGTTCTACGTTGACTTTAAAACAAGTCATGATTTTTTAAAAACTCAACGTAGAACACAAAATTTTGCCTGAGGTCAAAATTACAAAAAAGGGGACTGATAACTTCTAGTTTGAAGTCTTTTGATTCAAACAAACTTTACGGTGACTTTTTATCTCATCACAACTGCTCAGAACTCTGCGCGCAAGGTCCAAACTGGATGTAGGGTGACTCTTTTTTGCAATTTATGGCCGATATCTTGCCTTCCCCATGACTTTTTGAACCTTTCATTGCAGAAATTGAATCAGAAAAAAATTATGCTTCATGTGACCGAAACAATCCATTTTCAATAATTTTAGTTTTTCCCTCCAAGCACTGAAGAAATCAGAATTTTGTCACTTTACCCCCCCCCCCCCTTTAAGATCTTACAGCACTAGAAGTATTAATTCTTCTGAAGAATCGAGTACTTACCACTTTGTTGAATTCCTCCTTATCAGACATCATCGTGTTGAGCGACTTTTCTCCATCTTTGTCCGTCAGTGGCAGCTTAGGAATGTCCTCAGCAATGTTCGACTCCAATGGAGGAAGAACGCAAGACAGAATTTTCCGCATTGTCTGCACGATCGTCTCCATGGTTTTCGCATGCTGGTGCATGCTGTTCTCAACATGCTCGACCCGCCGCAAGTTCTCAGCCATCATGCTTTGTAGTTGCCGTAAACCTTGAAAAGAAACAATGACATGTTAGGAACAACAAGTCTCATGAGAGCGGTCAGCTATTTTTGTGTCACTTAATGTGTATGATAGGTAAACCGCACAAAATAAATTTGCTAGAGCAGCCCTATTACTTTATGACACGACAATTTGTGCCGAAATATCTTTCACTGTGTGTCAAACCAGTACTGTCTATTGCTCTCTCCTTGGGACTGTGACCCTCCCCACTGAGCCACTCTAGATGGGCAGCAGGTAGCCGAACAGTCTCACGCAGAAAGCAATAGACAGTACACTTCAGCAAAATAAGAACAACATTGTTAGTGCCCAATTAACATTACGAAATCATCTCCTGCAGCCACAGTTACAACCTGTTACTTGCATGCGATATATTCAGGAAACGCACCTGATGAAATAGAAGGGGAACAGCTTCCAAAAGTTAGCGCTCGGTAGGCCCCCTTGTCCTGTGGCGTCTTGAAAACGCCATCGCTTGTCTCAGACATTGAGGGCGACATGCTCTGTAATGAGTCGCTCGGTGAGGTACACAGCTGGTTTTCTGCGGCCTCTATTTCCGTGTCTATATCACGCAGCTCTCGGTCCAGCTCCCGTTCTGAGAATGATGATACGAAAGTCGACATGTCAGTCTGCCGACTTCTCTTGTGAATGGTATGCGCAGAACCAAAAGCTGCCGTCCTGTCACGCTTCCTAGGCGAAACGCGGGAAGATGCAGCTGTACCGAGCAGTGGTGAGGCACCTGGTTTTCTCAAATCACCCTCAGGAATCTTCCGCGGTGTTCCAGCTCGTGTGGCCTTGGCCATCTCAGTGGAGTTTTCCACAGCTTTTTTCTGTGGACTTTTCTTCTTACGTGCATCATTTTGGGAACCATTCTTTGGGCTCTCAGACAGGGAAAGTTTTTTGGGTACATCTTTCGCTTTCTGTGGCGTTTTCCTCGGCGTTTTCCTTGGCGTCATACTGGCCGTCTCTCCCGACAGCCCCATTGCCTCGTCCCGCTCCTTCTGTGGCGTCTTTCCTTGAACGTCACTTGACCCACCTGACTTCTGTGGGCTCAGTTCCTTGACGTTCTTTCGTGGACTGGTGCCTTTACGAGGAGGCGCTGCTACTCGGGTGACCTCACCCACAGTCGTGTTCTCTTCGTCCGATCGCTGAGATCCATCAAACACCTCATCCCAATCCTTTATCAAAGAACTCATGAGGTCACTCTCCTTCTCACAATTAATCAAACCGTCTGTCTGGCTGACAGACCTCTTGCTGGTATTGCTGCTCTCAACGCTCTGGGAAAGGAAGCCTTCATCACATGACAGTGCTCTTTCCTCCGTTAGAGAGAGCAAGTTTTCTACACCGTCCACATCGAACTCATCCTCATCTGAAGAGCCAGAAACCTTCCCACGATCAATCCGGGCCTGCTTCGCTGCCTGAAACCTTCTAGACCTCGCTCGTCTTATATGAATGGCCTCAGCTGATGCGTCACTATCAACACCGTCGACGTTTGAGTTCTTTTTCAGTGCAGCTTTCGCCTCCTCCAGCGAGGCTGTAAAAGAGCGTCATTACGTTAATAGGGCTACTCATACACCAAAAGACTGATTGAAACAGATGGCATCCCAGAGGACAGTAATCTTTCACGATTAAAATCGTCATCTCCACGGTCAAATATGACATCATGGTGACATCATTTCATGTCATCGTGAGGATATTGACTGTCAAGATGTAACAATTTCACCAAATAGTGTGATCTTGTCATACATGCCATCAAAACAGATCTTAAGGGGCCGATCACAAAATACGTCACGCATTTCTGCAAATGTCAACCACCCTGCCCCCCCTCCCCCCCACACATACACTTTATGTCTTATGAAGATTCCTGTGCGCGCATTGCCTCTTGCAGTTATGCCTGCCATTTCAATTCATTCTCGAGATACCGTGCGCACAGGACAGACACACAGACAGGGGACTAACTTTCTGATCACTGGAGTAATATGCTTCGCTATTGCTCAGCAAAAAAAAAGTTGCAACTTCAACTCTGCATGTTCAAGCGTTAAGTTTTTAATTTATAAAGGAGCATCTTCGTTTAACCCTTTACGTCACGGGTTTTGTCCAGCTGAAAAAAAAACTTTTCATATCGATTTTCTGGTTGGTTTTCACTTACTGATCATTTTGAGTTTTGTCCCGACGCTGTAACGTTAACCGTTTGGATTTTAGCCTTGTGTATCAAAAATGATACACTGTGACGTTAGGGTCATAATTGACAAACACACAAACTTTGCGCTAGAGTGGTATTATGAGCAACAAATATTTTTAAACGACACATCTTAGCTCTATGGAACACCTTTAGGACGATCATAACTCGTTTTGTTCGAAATGGTTCGGAAATGCGGAATTTAGTAGTTTGGTTTTCAGAATATTTTTGCTTTCCACCGTTTTCCTACGATCCAAAATGTGTCATTCCGGGGCAAAGTGGTTTTTCATGAAGAGTAAAGCTTGCTGAATCTAGTGGCACTCGATGCCCCAACCTCACATAAAAACTAACCCGGCAAACTAGAGTGATCAAAAATGATACACTGTGACGTTAGCGGGGATGTTGTGACGCGCGACCCGCGGCGTAAAACCGATGAGCACTCTTTATATTTTACAAGTGTACATGTCTTGCTAGTGATCCCGCAACCCGTACGGTGCCAACCATGTTTTTAGAACCGCGCTGTGACCAAATTTCGCATGTATCAAAAATGATACACTGTGACGTAAAGTGGATGTCTGGACGCGCGACTCACGTCGTGGGGCTAATGAGCACACTTTATATTTTACAAGTGTACATGTCTTACTAGTGATCCCGCAACCCGTGCGGTACCAACCATGTTTTTAGAAACGCGCTGTGACCAAATTTCGGATGTATCAAAATTGATACGCTGTGACGTTATGGGTATGTCTGGATGCGCGACCCGCTGGGTAGACCCGATGAGCACACTATACACTTTACAAGTGTACGTCTGCTAGTGATACCGCAATCCGTGCGGTGCCAACCATGTTTTTAGAACCGCGCTGCGACCAAATTTCGCATGTATCAAAAATGATACACCGTGACGTTAGGGGGTATGTTTTGACGCGCGACCCGCGGGGTGGACCCGATGAGCACACTTTATATTTTACAAGTGTACATGTCTTGCTAGTGATCCTGCAACCCGTGCGGTGCCAATCTTGTTTTCAGAACCGCGCTGCGACCAAATTTCGCATGTATCAAAAATGATACACTGTGACGTTAGGGGTGTGTCTGGACGCGCGACTTGCGTCGTGGGGCTATTGAGCACACTTTATATTTTACAAGTGTACATGTCTTGATAGTGATCCCGCAATCCGTGCGGTGCCAACCATGTTTTTAGAACCGCGCTGTGACTAAATTTCGGATGTATCAAAAATGATACGCTGTGTCTGACACTCCCGTACAGTTCCTGTAGTGTTCCGGGTGCTCTGGACTAGCCCAATATGCTTCACATGTCATCCACAAGCCTCACCACGTATCAATGTACCATTAGAATCTCATAGAAAAAATGTCAAAAAACGACAAAAAAATGGGACTCTACGTCACGGACGTTCATTTTTGATACACACAACTTTGCAAGCGTGTCACAATGCGAGTTTTTGAGATATCCTCGATCTGTCTTCGGCGCTGCCTACTTTGGACCTTTGCCAACAAAACATGACCACTACCATGAAAATCCGACCCCCTACCCACAGCTATAGGCGCTGCAGTTAGGCCCTGCATGGACCCCCTCGCAGGCCTGTTTTTGGCGCGCCACAGCAACCCACCCAAAGCACTCATGGGGTCGTAAGTGGTATGGATAGAGTCGTCTGGACCTCCTCATACGTATCCATGACAAAAACGTGATGTACCTCACAAGTAGACGGCTCCAGGCCGTGTTTTAGGAGGTGTATCAAATTTGATACCTTGTGACGTAAAGGGTTAACGTACCTGAAGATGCTTCCTTCTGGATTAATATCACATAGAAAGTGACGCCAGGCTCCCTTTAGCACCCCCCCCCCCCCTAGATGGTGGCCAGTTACACTTTCCCAAAACTGCTCTTTCGTCGTCCACTTTGCCGATTCCCTTATTCTTTACCCACAGCAAAGGAACTGTAGCCAAACTACCATCTTCAGCAAGAAACTCTACGTTCACAAATAACTACAAAAAAAAACAAGTGTTAGTGCGCAAGGACCTCTTTTCATCAACAAACCTAAACGTAACATCTCACTCAAAGGTTTATACACGCTAAACACTTCACTAAAAAAACAAAAACAAAAAAAAACAACTGTAGTGCTAAGGACAGCGGTTGCTTCCCCAACGACATTTTGCTCTTGGAACGGCCTCAAAGACATTTGTCGTCGAGGCCTGGTCTTGGACTATGTCGTTGAGGTATGTGCGTGACGCGTGTCCATAGGACAATCCCTCCTGTTGTATACCGAAGAACATATGTAATACACTACACACTTCCCATTGATCAAAGGTCTCATAAAATTAATTGGGAACTTTCATATAATTAAAGTTTTACATTCGGAACTCGAGCAATGAAAGCGGATACTGTATGAGCTGATCCACTCGCGTGAGTGCGCGAGGGAGCTCTGCAGAGCTGATGATGTTCACCAGAACAGTCAGACTCAGAGTCTCCAAAACTAGGTGACCAGCATTTCTCCCCTGCAATGGAGCGCATGGGATAAAACTCGGCACAGAGAAAGCGGTGTGGGTGGGACATGTGATGGAGACCGGGACAGAAATGATCAGCGCGAGCTAATGAGTAGCTGATGAGGGATGCCACCTAGCAGCGTCTTCGGAAGCTGGCCGCTCTTGTGTGCGCGGAATAACGCACGAACCGCCGCTAGGGCAGTGACACGTGCGACAAGAGCAGCGGAACGCTGTCATTGGTCTACGGTCACCCACCAACGACAAAGCTCAGAAACACGCCTACGCCTGTTCTCATATTTACAGTATATTTTTTTCAGTGTTTTGCATTACTTTGTGCCGAAAGGTCTGCTCTGTATCAAGCAGCCATACAGTTATGCACAAATTGTGGGCATATACACTCGCCAAAACAATTAGCGGTCCATTTTTTTACGCTTGGATTAAATTAAGTTCCCTAGCACCTAGGAAGTCGAGATTTGACATAGACATGCATCCATTGAGTCACAATGGGCACATTTGAATGACTTTCATTTGCTTTCGCTATGCAATCAAGTTTTCTATCGTTTCGACGAAAGCAGAGTTGTCTAAAGCTATGTATATGCGTTGTCACAAGAGCTTAAATATAAGTTTCAACCTGCTCGGGTTGGCAACCGTGCGAATGATGAAATCCTGAAGGCCAGACAGAGCACTGTGCCATCCCCATCCGTCCCGTGTGCCCTGCGACCACCTGCCAACCGCA